CAAAAATGAATAAATGGATAGATAATTGAAACACGAAAGAAAAAAATATGCAAAACTAATCCAAAATTTAAAAAATGAAATTTTTCTAACAAAAAATAAAAAAATTTTCCAACAACCTAATCCAAAAGAATCATAATTTAAAAAAAGTAAATTTTTATAAATTTTTTTCAGAGTATTTACTTCCACAAATCAAAATGTTAGTAAACACAGACCATAAAGTTCTTTATACCCGCATTTATAAAATATTTTTACATTTGGTTTTAACCCTTAACCTGCTAACTTAAATAATGTGAACAGGATTTAGGCCCTTTTTTAAATTTGGAATGGCCCATTCAATGATTAAGGGATCTCAATATCAAAATACAATTTTTTTTTTGGTTTGTTTGGGTTTTATGTCACATTGACACAGTATAGGCCATTTGGTGACATTCAGGTCATTATGGTGCCCTTCCATCACTTTCGGTTTAAGCAGGCTAAAAGGTAAGTGACAATAGCTCTGATATGCTGATAAGCATTTAAAAATACAACATTGAATTTAAAGTCAAAACATATTTTATTTTTGGTTGGGTTCTTTTACATCGCACCAACCCCGTACAGAGGTCATATGGCGACTTTCCAGCTGAAGAGGGAACCTTCTATTCTACAGAATATCGAAAGGAATTACCTGAGGCCCGCATGGAAGATCGGGAAACTGAATGTGTTAGCCTCATAAAATAAAGTCGTTACTTACTTACTTACTTACTATTTTCCCTAAAAAAAAATTTTGAATATTTTTTTCATATTCACAGAAATTCTTTTTAAGTTTTAATAATTTAAGCATATTCCCCAAAAACGGGGAACAATTTTTAAAACCAATCCAGAAAAAAAAAGTTCACATCAATTTTGAAAACGACAATAAACTATTTTTCCCCAAATTACATAAAATAAAAACAAAATTTTCCCCATATTCACATATGAACCAAAATAACCAATTCCAAAATATATTTAAGTTGTTATTAATTAAAAAACCCAATTTTACAGTTTCTACTTGTGTAAAAAAAACCATTTCCACATTTTAAACTACATTATTATCAATTAAACCTATTGCACAGTAACACAGTTTTGGGACCAAAAAACATATTCCACATATCACAGTTTTTTACAATTATAAACCAATGCACAGTATCAAATTTTATCAAATAACCAATTTTCCCAGAACTACATTTTGGGAATTTTAACAAAACCAATTTGCACAGATACACAGTTTTTAACAATTATAAACCAACCAAAAATAACAGGGTTTCAAAAACCATTGCACATAATCTAATTTTAATTTAAATTTTAAAACCAATTTTACATTTTCTACAGTTTTTGTACAATTATAAACCCATATTTCACAGTATATCTAGATGTTTCAATAAAAAAACCTAATCCCCAGTATATATATGTGGTTTTAAAAACCCTAATACATTTTAAAACCTTCACTCCTGGACACACTTAAAAATAAGAATTTAAATCAGGCTCGACCCTTTTTTCACTATGAAAAAACAAAAACAAAAACCTTTTTAACAAAAAAAAAAAAAAACAGTAAGTTCTTGAATAAATTTTGCTTGTGAATTTTGCTCATTCACTGTAAAAACTCTAACTGACTACTAAGCTTTGTCATTTATTAGTCTTCTTCCGCACAAACTGTAGTTAGATCTTTTTTGTAAGATAAATATCATCAAATGAGAAAACTTACACCACAGGTTTAAATATTTGCATGTAACTAGGGTATTATAATAATATGTTTCTTGCTCCCTGAGTTCTGCTATGAGGTGACCATACTGTTTATATTAAAGTATTGCTATGACTGGTGACCATAAGGTTTATTTTACAGGGACTCCACTGAGATTTAAAAGCCTAAAAACATAACATTTGAATTTCTTACATAAATAAGTTTGGGCACTTTAAACAGAAATATATGCAAAGATAGTTAAGAAATATACTTTGAATTAAATTGAAAACTGTATTTTTATGCTTTTCTTAGCCCGATTTGAGTAAAATGTGTTTTAAACGCTTTTCATTTTTGGTCATTATTTTACAATTTGAATAATTATTCTGGAAAAACAAAGTGCGCAAGTAATCTGAAAATTTTGCACACAAATTGGTTGTCTTAACCTACATCAAATGGTATATTTATCTGAAAAAAAATATTTTCAGTCCAATTATGTCAAAAAAACCTCAGTGGAGTCCCTTTAAAGCCCTGTACAAGGTGACCAAAGGAGTAATTTTTATAATGGTATGAATATGTCAGCATCATCCTGATAAAAATCATTAGTTACAGTTCTAAATCATTAGACATGACATCATAAACAAATGTTTAAGTTTTTATCAAAACCCAAATCCCTTTCACTGGTTGGAGACGTAAACCACCAAAACCTGATGACCACCAAACCCATACAGCCCCGAAAACACTTGCTTTTGTTGTTAATTTTGTTACTGGCTGTTGATCTGAATAAGTAGCTTTTTGATTAACACCTGTTAGTGAGGTAACAGGTGAATTCTAATTGAATTTTAATAGGAGTTAACTCATTACTGCACTAAAGTTTTCACTTTATACAAAAATTGACAATCCTTACATTTACAGTACCCAAGAAAACGTTCTTTGTGACAAAACCACGAAATTTCATGCCCACGAAATTTAGTGAATTTACAGTAGCATATAAAATTATATAAAACAAGATATTCACCTTTACAGTTTAAAGTAACATTAAGCTTATTTTTTTGTTGTCTTGTTGACAAATAATTGATGATAAAATTGTTTATGATACAATATAAAAACAACATAAACTATAAAAAGAGTGCCCCACTTTATTTAAGAATAGAACATTAATTAACCAATAAACTCCGAACAATAATTATGGAAATTTGTGTTGATCATGTGGAATATTGCTCATTTTTTCAATGGCAAAATGTCAAGTAACTTATTTTTACATCAAATGGATGAGCATGGACCTTTCAAGTGATTACAGTTTTATGTAAATTGGTTAACTTTTTATCCAATTGTTACACTGAGATAATACATAGTCACTTGTTGACCTGATTTGCACAAAAGAACATGTGGTTATGTTTGTGATACTGTTTGTGAGCAGTTGACCTAGCAATGAATGGAAAAGGTGTGGCTAAATGTTCCGCTACGAAAAACCGGAAAGGTCCATTAACAAGAGCTGTCCGTAAGACAGCGCGCTCGACTTTTTTATTGCTTGCCAATAAAAAAAGTTTTTGCAGTAAAAGGCAATACAAGAATCTCTGTATTTTTAAAGTGAACAATGGCCATGAGCATTAAGATATTTAGTGAAGAATTATTTTACTGAATTGTGTGATACCCTTGAACACTGCAGCAAAGTTTGAAATGTTTAAGTCAAAAGCAATATCTCAAAGGGTTAAGGCAATAAGTGGATTTTACCCATATTCAATGTATTTTCTAAGTCAAAAAGGGGCATAATTCTGTCAAAAACCTTGACAGAGTTATGTCCTCTTGTCTGTTGATGAAGGTCGTGATGGTAAACAAGTATGGTCAGTTTCAAAGCAATACCTCCAATGGTTTTGAAATAAAGTGAGGTGGTACAAAAAACTTAACCAAGCTCAATACACTTTCTAAGTCAAAAAAGGGCCATAATTCTGTCAAAAACCTTGACAGAGTTATGTACTCTTGTCTGTAGATGGAGGTTATGATGGTGAACAAGTATGGTAAGTTTCAAAGCCATACTTGTAATACTTCTGAAATAAAGTGGGGTGGTACGAAAAACTTAACCAAGGTGTGACGCCAACGCCGACGCCGACGCCGACGCCGGGGCGAGTAGGATAGCTCCCCTTTTCATAGAAAAGTCGAGCTAAAAATGTCACTTTAAGGTAATAGAGAACAAAGCATGCTTCTTATACATATGAGAAGGTGCCCAAAAGCAAAATATTTAACATTGTGATTTGCTGAAAGAAACAATTCATGTGAAACAGGCTTTTCCAAGAGTGGCCAATCATCAAAGCTAAAAGTAAATTTGTATATGCTAAAAATAGATTTGTAATTATAAATATGATACTTGTAAACCTATAGAATTAAATATCAATTTTTAGGAATTCCTTTTCATGAAAATGATTTTCCTGGTTTATGTAGTACTTAATATATGTACAATATAAATTATGCTATTGTTATTGGCCTCACTTGGCTTTTATAGTACATGTATATATAAAGATGTAAATGGTTTTGTCAGGATATTACAATCTCTGAACATAATATAAAGTATGCAATCAAAGGTTATTTCCATATATTTTTTAATGATCTTCAAATATTATAGTCCTTAATATTCATTTTATGTATATATATAAATCAATCTCAATGTCTGTTATTTCCTTCAAATAGTTCAGATTTAGATAAAAACATTATGTCAGCATAAAACTGGTACCCTCTCAAAATACTATTGTCCGTAGGGAGTCAACTTTTTTATTTTTTGAAAACAAGAAAAATATTCAAAATGCCATATTTATTCAGCTACAAGACTGATCCACCTATAAGACTGTGTCTACAAGATTGTTACATCTGTAAGACTCCAGGTCTATAATGTTATCCTTTTACCAAAGTAATTTTCTTGATGTGATCAAAGTTTTAGATTAAAATTGGCGATTATATTCTAAGGCTTGATCATAATAAAAAAATTAGGCATAATTTTGGCACACCATTATCAATGCATCAACAATTTTCAAACAAGTCAATAAATTGGATATTATGGCCTTTGATGCAAAAATTGCACAATGTTGTTTTTTTTGTTTATTTTTTTTCATCGGAAATATAAAACTTAATTACGGTCACTTAAAATATCAGATGTAATTTACTGAATCAAACTGATAAAAAAAAGTTCTATAGACATTCATATAAATCTTTTGACGAAACCATTTACATCTTGTTTTGAAATGGATAAAACTTGAGAAAAGACTCTACAAAATAACTGCATGCATGTATAAACACTAGACAATGTCTATCTTACATTATTGGGGTTAGGATTTGGGGGCATACTTTTTGGTAATGCGTAACCCCGGAGTGGAACCTCATTTGTTGTAAGTAGGTCATTCAGACTATGCACTTTCAGTGCTAGCTCTAAATTGCGGTCTACATTCTTCCTATCTATTGCTGCTGGCTGTAAATTTGTATTGTATAATGAATCAATATAGCAAAAACAAATAACAATATCTAAAACCGCAATGGGTACTGGTTGGGGACCACCAAAACCGGACAACCACCAAACCCGGACGGCCCCGAAAATGCTAAATTTAGTATTTTCTTTGTTCAGTGGTTGTCAGTCACTTTTTTATAGGCAATAAGTGCATGTTTCTTTCAAAATTAAGTAAATGAATTTATTTCAACCTCCGTAAATGGTAATATTTTAATGTCTATTTCAAGAATGTTAACGTTGAAATTCGGGGGTCAAGAAAGCAATGTCTGACCTCATATACCAGCTATAATCATTTGCAAAGTGAATAATAGAATATCCAAAACTTCAGCATTTATTGCTGACATATTGTATATCATGTTACAAATCAAAAATCAAAACACCCAGGCTTTTATCTGAATTAAATCACATCATGTACATATCTGTCCGGACACATGGTACTGTAGTGTAGACAATTTAGGTAATTTTGATACCCTCCTTGTTGAGCCTCAGATATAATTGTCAATAAAATCAGAAATAAACAAACTAGTTTATTAGTTAGGAGAAGAACCTAGCTGAACTGTGTCAAATTTTTTGGTCTCTAGGTTAAAAATTATGAAATCTGTACGGAAAAATGTTCCAAAAGTGTCCGGTTGATGGTCTCCGACCAGTAGTCTCTCCTTTGCAGATTTGACAAAACTAAAAATGCAGCCTTGATTATACTGTCATGAAAAGTAGGTAGGTAAAAGCAATTTCTGTACTTCAAGACCTATGAACAATTTTTGTTTGTTTCATTTTACGCCTTTTCCCAACAGTATTTCAGTCATATAGGCAACAATTTTTGTACTCTGAGTGTTGAAGGGACAAACCAATAAATGTTAGTTCCTTGCTCATTGAAACAATGGCTTGCCTCTGACAGGGTTTGAACCCATGCGGCCAGCAAACCATAAGTTACTACTACGACACGCTGACAGTATATAACAGTTAACAATGTATATTTGATAAACAAAATTATAACTAAGGCAATAGAAAATAAATTCCCAGATTCTCATCCCCGCCCGCCCGTCAAAAATTGCTCCGCCCGAACGATTTTTATTTTCAAAAAAAAAAGAGAAAAAAAAGAAAGAAAGAAAGAAAGAAAGAAAAAGAAAGAAAGAAAGAAAGAAAAAGATTTAAAGTTTTTTTTGCTTGATTACTGTGTACGGATGCCGAGTACTTAAAGTATATATTAAAGTGTATCATCATCTGTGTGGCCGAAAGTCCGTCAGTCTTGGTCCTGGCATCATGCGGGCCGAGAATAAAATTTCTTACCGTTGAAAAAATCCTCGGTCCAAATAAATTTCTAAGAGCTAAAATAAACCTGCTTTGCTAGTTAAAATGAAATGTGTTAAAGAGCTTGAATTATATTGAAGTTTGAACCACAAAAGACCAATTTTTGACAAATCAAATAGTCAAATAAACAGCAGTTCATAACAGCATCGGTAAATTTTGCCGTAAATTACAAAGTTTGAAATTTTGTTTTACAATGCCTTTTGGAATAGCAGCTGAATAACAATTTAAAAATACTCATAAAATAATAAATCTGATAAAATCAAAATCAACAACAACTAGAATTGTGAATGGTTATGCAAGAAACAGACATTTTTTTCGTTTGTCACATATTTTCGCGATGCCGATTTTTATAATACAAAAAGAAGTCACCAAAAGGAAGCCTTGTATTGATAAAATTTGTCCAATAACACTTTAAATATAGTTTACTTATTAAATATACTTACTGGATTGTTTACATTAGTTTAGAATGAGACATTTGCCAGTGTGTGTTGTACAATGGATATTTTCCTAAGGGAGGGGGGTGTGGAAACACAGATATATTATACAAGCTTCATGATGGAATTAATCAAGAAGAAATAGCAGGATTGGGGGTCCAAGGATTTTGAAAATCCTAGTGAGGATCATGATTATTTCTACCGTCCACATTTTGTTTTGTTTCTTCATAGAAAGCCAAACTAAGAAAACCCGTCATTTTGACATTCAACCAGGTTGTTATCATATAATACTAGAAATGTCACGGCCTGAAATAATCATCTGAACCAAAAATAAATAACAGGCTGCCGGTCCGTGTGGCCTTAAAAATGAATTTCGCTTATAATCTTCATGGTCAGCGTGCTGCTTGATTTTGTATGTAATCTTTATAATATCTATAGTCATAAATAAGATAGCTTTTTAATATAATAGGTAAATCTCTGTACTTTCTTTGCCAAATTTTCAATAGCTTAGATGTTATTTTTGCAATGTAAAATATAAATAGGATTGTCTTTTTGTGTAGCTTCATTGGTTGATTAAATAATTTACTCATGTAAAAGCACTTTTGATCGACATAGACATAGTACATCTTTATTCAACTCTTATAAAATTAAAATGTCTTATTATGTAACAATACATGTAGATCTATATTTTTTTTTACTTTGTCAAAACATCAATTGGTTTGATGTAAAAATATAAAAGGTTCAATAAAACAGCTAGATCATTACAATCAAGATAATTATTATCATGTTCAATGCTTCCATTCTCAATCTGAATCTATATATATCTTACATAAACATAATGTTAGAACCTATTATATAGAACAAATTCCAAAATATTGACCTCTTCGTGTGTAATTCCAGACCGAGAATGGAAAATAAAAAATAAAAATTAAAATCCACCCACCCGCCCCATTTTTGCCCAAAATTTGGATGAGAATCTAGTTATTTATTTTCTATTGCCTAAACAGTAATCAATATATAATTATATAAGTAATAAAACACTGAATTTACCAGAATCCTAATCAAATTGTACAATGTATAACTGATAAATAACTTGAATAGAACAAGTATGTAAAACATGATTAAAATAAGGTAAAAATTGGATGAATGTATAATACTGATGTAACTATAACATGTATAAATCAATGTAAAGTAATAATACAGCCAAATTTCTAGCATGGAATAAAATCAGATTATCTTCTATGAAGTCATTAAAATTTAATCAAGACTATATAATGACTACTAATTGATTATTATAATGTTATTAAATTGGAAAAAAAACACATGCAAGTAATAAAACTCATTCTCAACAATGCAAAATTATCAATCTCTTATTAAAATAAAGCATTATTACACATTTTCCAGGCAAACTAAACTGTTACTTAGCTCAAATCTATGATAAAAAAACTCATGTCTAATAAAAAGAGAAAATTCAATTCTCTCCACACAATTCATTTATCATTTCAAAAAAATGAAATAAAGGGAGATAATACCTGTTTTTCAGGAGCTACACAGTTAAGGTTATCGAGGGGTTTAGGCGAAGGACAAACATCAGCTTTTCCATTTTGTTGTCTGTAAAATAAAAGAAAGAAAACTATAGCATGTTTCGTCAATGAGATATATATAATATCAATCACTGCAAACTATAGCATGTTTTATCAATGAGATATATTTTATATCACTCATTGCAAACTTTAGCATGTTTTATCAATGAGATATATTTAATATCACTCACTGGAAAGTATAGCATGTTTTATCAATAAGATATATTTAATATCACTCACTGCAAACTATAGAATGTCTTATCAATGAGATATATTTACAAAATTCAATTTCAAATATTCCCATATATTGAAGTTATAAAAATAACCATCATAACATAAGTTCTGGTAAACTTGTAACAATTCTCAACCTTAGTGCAATAACTGGTTAACTCCTTTAAAATTTAGAAGAACTTAGCCCTTACTTACTGCACTAAGGTGATGACATATTTATATGAGAATTGTTGACATCAGATGACTGTGTGACAATATGGTTTATATCTCACTTCAGGAAGAGATTATTATATTTTCACTTGTCAAGCATGCTTTTATAAACATTTGATATTTATATATCACTAAAAATAAATATATAAAAGGTATTAGACACATTTTTTTTTAAATACCACTAACTTATAACCGAAATAACACTTATACAATAAATCTCATTTTCATTTATAATTAATAATTGAATTTACAATAAATATAATTAATTTAAAACAAATCGAAAAATAAAACTAAAGAAAAATAAATTTAAAGCAATCTTTCAACTTTACAACATTTCTTAATAAATTGGTCAAAAATTAAAAATAACACTAACAGGAAAAGCTTATTTTCTAATCTAACAGAAAAAAGAAGAAGAAATTCTTGTAAGACCATTTCCAGAGTGTGACAAAGCAGAAATAATGTACATGAAAAACTGAATCTGTAAACTGTAAAAAGAAATTATATAGTCAACAGAAACTTTCAACTTCAGAACCCTAGAAATAAGGTGGAAGTGAAAGCTTTTAAAAGCTTAGATATAATAAATATAGCACCTTGAATATTGTACATTCTAAAAGCAAGTGATATAAGCATGAAGTAAATAAACAGCCAGTTTGAATAAGGCCAGCAAATTATTCCACCCTAAATTTAAGAACTCATTTACATCAAGGTGAAATGTAGCAATGCAGGGTAAATTAATTTTCTTTTCAAAGAAATTTAGATAATTTCAATTCAAAGAAATTAAGCCGTGTCCAATATAGGGCTCCAGGAACTCCACTATATTTTTTTGATAAGATGGAACAGAAAATATTTTTTTTAAGATTTTAATGTAAGAAATTCAAATTTTATGTTTTTAGGCATTTCTCAGAGAAGTTCCTTTACTACACTATAACATTGCTGTCTATAAGAATACGTTTATAACCCTTTCAGAATTTTGTGTGAATAAGTCATATTAACACTTAAGTAAGGTCCAGCTTTAGTGTAGGAAGGAGACTTCAGGTGTCCCTATGTACATTATTTAATTATTTCAGCAGAGACATATTTTTTAAAAAAATAGCTAAATCTAATCATAGATGTCATTGACATTCTGCTTTGTCATTAAGAAAGGTGAAAAAATGTGTTCCTTTAACAACTGATTATACATTGTATATACAGTGACAAGAAAAAAAGTGATAAATGCTTAAAAAAAAGAATCTTGATTTTATAAAGTGACAATATATAAGTGATAAAATTGCTAAAAAAAAAAAGAACCTTGCTTGTATAAATTAAGTGACTAGAAAAGTGATAAATGCCAAAAAAGGAACCCAAAGACGGCCAAAGACAAGCCAAAATTCTAAAAGACTAAAATGTCAGAAAAAGAATATCTGAGTACCATTGATTGTGTATATACATGTGAATACCATGTGGTCTAAAATGGCTAACTTTTTAATGTTTATATAATTATAAAATGTAAAAATTTTTGATAAAATTATTTTTTTCATAGAGAATGCATGTTTATTAGTCATATGGCAACTTTCTGGCTTTGTAACTCTGTAGGAATAGACACAATTCTCAGGTGACCTTCCAGGCTTTCATTTAATATTTAAGTCACTAAGATTCTGGAATACAGCAAATTGTCTTAAAGGATTCATTAAGATCAAATTTTACAGCACCAGTAAATTTTAACAAGGCCCAATCCCCACTTTCAGGAATAGCGGAGAAGCCCCGATAAAGGTGTCCTGACAGGGTTTGAAAAATCAGGGCCAACTAAAACACTTAAAACTATTTGAAATAGCTTGAAATTTTGTAGTTTGATTTCCAGGCAACACAAGATTTATAGAGAAAATATTTACATAACAGAAAATATTAATCATTTTATATTTTATTTCAAATCTGAATCAGAACTTCACCCATAATTTTCAATACAATAAAATAATGAACTATATATTTTAGGTCACATGACTTCCTAAATTAATTAGAGGCTGTAAGGAGTGGTACATGTATATACTAGTAAACTGTAACCATAGCAACCAGATACAATTTGTCAATATATTACCTCTGGTATCCAGCCTTCAAAGCACTGTCATAATAATACAATCACCATAAAATTATCATTTTATTTCAGGTTAAAAACCACTAAATATCAAAGATAATGAAAACTGTTTACACATTTTATTTCTATAATAATGGTCCTGAATATCTGTCTTGATATAAATCATTGTTGATACATCCAATCAAAACCTTTAAATATATGAGACATACATTATACTTATTTTTAATAAATCAAAATTTTATTTCTCTTCATTTATAAAAATACTATTATAATTATATAGTGTTTATACCTCTGGTTTAAATACTTAGTCTAATACATCTCTAGTGTACTACAAGAGTATTAGTCTGTTTGAAAATGGACAAAAATGTTCTCATTACATTTACAATGATTTGACCTTGTGACCTAGTTTTTAACAGCACTTATGAGTGACCTACTTTCAGTATCTGTATTATAAATGTATAAACATTCAAGTTTCATACAATGTAATATAGATTTCTAAGTCATTTTGACCTAGTTTATAATTGTCCACCAAAGATTCTGTGAACTTAGGCATAATCTTATCAAAACAATAATTCTGGCTAAATTATCCAACTATCAATATGGCCAAATGTTAAAGTTAACCAGCTCTTTCTTTTGATTTGACCTTTTGACCTTATTTTTAACCTTTTTGACCTTGACCAGAAAAAATTCTCACAGTTTCAAAGTGACTCAATGAAAAAATTGGACCTCTCTTTGAGAGAGTAAAATGTCTAACAGTTGAAAGACTAAAAGATGATTAATGCCTGATCATCAGTCAGATCTTACTCAGACAGTACATGCAGTCAAAAATCTTAAAATAAAATCCCTCAAATTTATGGACTATTTCAAACTAAAAGCTGGCCACTTAGTCTGGATGAGTCTTTTTTATACAGATTTAGCAATAACTGAAGTAGACAGAAATTGTTAGTTCATTGCCATTCATCTCAGCGTTACAAATGTCATCAAAATTTTTCTGCGACACTTTGAGGCCATTTATTAATTTCTGCGACAGGCCGCGAAAGTTTGAGGTCATTTATGTTAGCAGTCATTTATTTTTTTCTGCAACAGTTGGGGGTAATTTATTTTTCTGCGACAGTTTTCGGAAAAATTTGGTTTTCTTAGTTTTGAGGCAGCCCAAAATGCATTTGAGGCTGTCATTTTGGTTTCCAGCTGCCACTTAATGACAACCCTACATATTTAAACAAAATACATGACAATTCATCAACTCCAGGTGAGCCACAATTAAGCTTTTAATTTGGTCTAAAAAGTATTATCAAAACAAATAAAAATAAAATACAAATTAATGTAATAAAAGAAACAAGAAAGTTGGAAACAAATCTAGCATAATTTTAAGAAGAATAAAACAAAGATGTCTCTACGAGATAGTAATACCGAATGTGGTTTTAAGATTTTGAAGAAATTTTATTTACATTTCAAAATCCATCTTTAATTTGTGATTCATTCAATTTTACAGTTATTCACTTAAGGAATTGTTATAAAAAACATGAACTTCATCAATTTCTTAAACAAATATTACTTATTGGTAAAACTAATTTTTAGCTAAGACATTATCAGTACAATAAAGAGTTACAATTTAACTCCAAAATTCAGAATACCGTATTTTGGGATTTTCTCTGCTCTATCAGAGGTACAAACATTTTAATTACAAGATTGCGGTGTTGCACAAATTAATGGTAAATATATAGACAAGAGCTGTCGGTAGGACAGCAACGCTCGACTATTCTTTAATATATAGTGCTTGATAGTAAAAAAAGCCTTGATTAAAAGGTAAAATTTTCTAAGTAAAGAAAAAGGCAATTTTTTTTCATTAAATCAATAATACAGTTATAGGCCTTGGAGAGAGTCCTATTATGCTCTCAAAGAAGAGTATAAATTTTCAACATGTTTCAAAGCCATATGTCAATGGACTTTGAAAATATTTAAACTATTACAAAAACTTTAACGTAAATTCTAAGTCAAAAAAGGGGCATAATTCTGTCAAAATGCTTGATAGAGTTACCTCCTCCTATTTACAGGTTGGGGTATTAATGGTGAACAAGTGTGCAAAGTTTCAAAGCCATATGTCAATGGACCTTGAAAATATTTAAACTATTACAAAAACTTTAACGTAAATTCTAAGTCGAAAAAGGGTCATAATTCTATCAAAATGCTTGATAGAGTTACCTCCTCCTGTCTACAAGTTGGGGTAATGATGGTTAACAAGTGTGCAAAGTTTAAAAGCCATATGTCAATGGACTTTGAAAATATTTGAGGTATTACAAAAACTTAACGTAAATTCTAAGTCGAAAAAGGGGCATAATTCTGTCAAAATGCTTGATAGAGTTACCTCCTACTGTTTACAGGTTGGGGTAATGATGGTGAACAAGTGTGCAAAGTTTAAAAGCCATATGTCAATGGACTTTGAAAATATTTAAACTATTACAAAAACTTTAACATAAGTGGTTACGCTGATGCCGACGCCGACGCTCGGGTGACTACAATAGCTCTACTTATTCTTATTGAATAGTCGAGCTAAAAATAAATGCAATATGCATTACAGGTTGATCAGTTTTTTTAGTGCACTGTGATTAGCCGTAATAATTATATTAAACTGTAAAAGTTTGTATGTACCACTCACTGGAATATAAGTCAGAGAAAAACCCACATTTTGATGAGTTCTGGATAATATCTATTTAATCCTTGAACTATTCAGAAAATGAAAGTAATAATCATGTAAGTAAGCTATTTTAAGCAATCTGTCATCTACTTTTGCTGTAAGAAAAAGTTGAATGTAGAAAAGTGCATTTTTCTGTATGAAATAATGAAAAGTGAACTACTAAAAGAACTATGTAGAGATTATGAAAACTGCTTATATAATATAATACATTGTAATTCAGAAAATACAGTAAATTGAGATATGTAAAATCATAGAGGCGTCATTGGATTGATAACTGACGATAATTTTGAATGATCGTGATTTAAATATACCGTAAAATTCCTAATACACGCCCCTCCCCTAATAAAGGCCCCCCAGGCCTTTTGATAAGGAAAACAATCTATTTATCAGTGCTGAACTCATAATTAAAGCCATAATTATTAACACTTTTTAATGTTATTACCAACACTTGCTAACACTAAATGTATTTACAGTGATTTTTGGATTTAGGAAAAACTGTATTGTAATAATTAAAAAAAATTAATAGCCCCCGATTTGGAAAATGTTTAGCTCCCGGGGGCGTTTAATAGGAATTTTACGGTAATCCCTGAATTTATTCTAACTTGTTGGACAAAAACTTCTCAATGGCTTTAAAAATTCCAAATTAGTTGGACCCAGAGTGGCCCATTGCAACGAGAGTCAGAACAAAAAAAAACCCAATGTAATGTAAGGTTTTTCTTCATGAAATTTCTAAATTTACACAACCCATAATTTATTAACCTTCAGACTGCTCTGTCAGGTGGCAACCGTATATACCTACCGGTATGTTACCAGTGCAGACCAAGATCAGATTTAACTCTGTACAGACGTGTTGGAGCAGTACCTCTAGACACTTGCAGAAATCAAGATCACAAAATAGACAAAATTAATATCATTTTTTTTCCGACCTATTCTTACATTTTTCATTCATAATCATAAATAAATGGGTGTGAAGTTCATTCTGTTTGGTAAGGGGGTGCACTTTTATCATTCAAGCCCCTTGTCCCGTACATAACCGGAATTACAGCTAACAGTATTACGGTAAGTTTAGTTTTATAGTCTCACTCGACCAAATCACCCCCTGCATGCACTGTGACCCTGCATTCTGATCATTGTCCAAAAAATTTGCTTTTCATATTCAGTCAGTTCTTATTTTGAAATTTTACCCTTAATAGGATGAATGGTTTTGTCCACACTGAAAGATGGACAAGTCCATTTCAGATATTTAGTGTTGTATGCTGTAAATTATAAGCCTTGTTAGGGTACAGCATTATATGACAGCAACAATGTAATGTTCAATTCAATGTTAAAGTGAGTCTCCATTAATTTTTCATTATAGGAGCCCCAGATTTCTGAACCATAACATTAGTATTATAAACTATATCTTACAGCAATGACAACCCTATATTTAACATGTTCTTACCGTTGCAGCCTCCAAGCTCTAGAAAACAATTATTTCATGAAATAATTTGTATGAAATATTCTGATATTTTTATAACCTGAAAAATATTTGTATCTTTAAACTGCAAAACAAACTGCTTGCATGAGAAATGAGGTAGAAGATAGTTTTCAGAAAACAACAAAGTTTGATACAAACAAATAAGACCTGTTCAAACAAACAAAGATATATAATACATTATATAGAGTGTATACATTATCAATTTCACAATATATAATATAGAATATATAATATTTTGTCCTTTTTAGCTAAGGGACTAATAATTTACTTAAATGCCCAAGATGCCCCAGAAATACATTGATTTTCATTTCTCAAAAGCTTTCTTTTTTTAATTTTTGGTGTTTAATTATTATTATAAGTTTCTTAAACATTACACAAATAAAGTGAATCGTCTTTTGCTTCTGTACATACAAGAGCAGAGGTACAGTGTGTATGACCATAGAAAAGATTTCATGATCAATCACAACGAAAGTGACCTGCACCGTCCGGGAATCAAACCTTGGCCGCCAAATTCACAGTCCAATACTCTACCTATTGAGCTTATTGTACAGCTTAGTAAAAATATGGTGATGGGAGGTCAATAACATACAACTACTTTGTTCACATTTTGCTACTTCTATGGCAAATAATGTCACATTCATGCTTTAAATAAAAAAAAAATTATCTGAAATTAACAATGGATGTTTTTAAGCATTACTCTCAAACAGTGTATAATAATATTTGTCTATCAAGTTTTCTCAGGGTCATGTCAAAAAAAAAGTCTATTACAGTTAACTATATAAAAGACTACAATTTTTGTGCGAATAAAAACTTTTTTTAAAATTTTTTATCAAATAAACCCCAAATTTTTAATTT